TCTGGTAGGATTGAGGCACCAGGCAGGCCATGCCATTTAGTGAGTGATAGGACTAAGGCCCTTAGAGCACAGGCTTAGGGCAAGAACAGACACGTAGGCCCACGCAGCCCAGGGTGACTGCGTGGCCCGGGCTGACGGTACAACCTGGGAGTGACTGTGTGGCCCCAGGGTGGCTGTGCAGCCTGGGGTGGCCCAGGGTGACTGCGTGGCCCAGGCTGACTGCACAACCTGGGAGTGACTGTGTGGCCCCAGGGTGGCTGTGCAGTCTCAGGTGGCTGCATGGCCTGGAGTCGCCCAGGGTGGCTGAGTGGCCTAGGGTGGCTGACAGCCCTGGGTGGCTCTGCAGCCTTGGGGTGGCTGCGCAGCCCAGGACTGTCTGCATGGCCCCAGGGTGCCTGCACAGTCCAGGGTGGCTGCCTTGTCCATGATACACCTCTCCTTCATTGTTCCATGTTTCTTGCTTGATGGAATAACCGAGTCTCTCTTCTGGAGTATGTGTGTCCACTTCATGATATTTTTTTCTACAAGGTTTTGTTTTTTTATTTTGGTGTTAGGAGATAAAGATTAAACTAATGAGCTCCCAGATAATGGCAAGATGCTGGATCTACCACTTGGGGAAAAAATGTTTAGTTGTATGCTTTATTCTGTACTTGAGAGCAAATTCCACATGAATCTGCAAACATTTGGGAGTGAACCAGCAGACGGAGGACCTGCCTTCCTCTCTCTGTGTCCTTTTTTCTCTGTAAATCTACCTTTCAGATACAAATGAATAAATCTTTTTTAAAAAATTGAAAATCTGAATATAAAAAGACTTTAATTTTTTGTGAGTCCAGCACAGTGGCTCAGTAGGCTAATCTGCCTATAACACCAGTATCCCATTTGGACACAGTTCTAGTCCTAGCTGCTCCACTTCTGAAGTCTCCTACTTACAGACTGGGAAGGCAGTAAAGGATGCCTCAAGTCTTTGGTCCCATGCATCCACGTGGGAGACCCGGAGGAAGCTCCTGGTTTCTGGCTTCAGATAGGCCCTGCTCCAGCCATTGTGGCCACTTGGGAAATAAGCCAGCAGAGGCACGATTTCTCTCTGTAAATCTGCCTTTCCAATAGAAATACATAAATCTTTAAAATGTATGTATATTTTTGTATGACAAACACCGTCATCAAAGTGAAGTGACAACTGCAAATATATGTATTTGCAACATATACCACAGTCCTGGGGCCAGGTTCCTGAAATGGAAGAACTCCACAAAACAGAGGATGAAACACTGAAAACTTGATTTTTTAAAAAAAAAATGGGAAAAGGGTTTGAACAGACAATAAACAAATGTTTCTGTATATGTGTGTGTATGTGATTGAACAGACAATAAAGAAGTGCCACTCATTTGTTTTTAAAGTGTTCAAACTTAGAAAAATGCCAGTTAAATCGATGCAGACCTAGAAACTCTCACCTGTCAGGAAGGCGAGATGCTTTAATGTGTCCTAGAGGAAGCAAGTGCTGAAACACACTGTGTCAGAATGCAGTGTATGACCACCTGGAGGGAATTTGACCTGGCAAGTCCCCGTTGTGAGAACCCATGCCGAAGGCACACTGCCAATGGTGCATACACGTGGGCATATCTGTATGTTTCCTAGGGCTCAGATCTTTGAAGGGATGGTATCCAGTACCATGAGCACATCTGGAACTCAGATCATGGTTTCTAAACACCGAACTCCAGGGCAGATGTGTGCCACAGCTGGCGAAGCTGCCACATGGGAGGCCCACGTGCCACATGGGAGTGTCTGAGATCAAGTCCCACCTTCATTCCCAACTCCTGGCTTCGGATCAGCACAGCTCCGGCCCTTGCCACCACTGGGGGAGCGAACCAGCAGATGAAAGATCTTTCTTTCTCCTTCTCTTTTAAATCTGCCTTTCCAATAAAGATAGATTTTTTTAAAAAATAAAAACCAAAAACTCACTTATGAGAGAGAAAGGATGACAGCCAATCCCTACAGAAGGAAGGATTGTAGTTCATGAAGTGTAGCCAGACAGAAGGTCATGGAAAACCACCACGAGACAAGCACCACGTCCTGTCAGAGACCCACCGGCAGCTGCAGGGTGTCAAGGAGAAGTGAGATTCTTCACTGCCTCGGAACAGCACTCATTTGAAGGCCTGAGCCGAGTTTGGGGGCTCATCTGGGATGCCTCACTCCTGGGGCTGTGGGCACAGAAGTGCTCCCACCCGGGAGGCTGTCCTCCAGGGAGAGCGATTGACAGAGCAAGTAAGCACACAGGGGAAGCCAGGTGCCGCTTGGGCTCCGAAGTCATCCCTGCTTGCTGGGTGGCAGAGGGGTCCCAGCCTGTAGCCAAGAATTCTCTCCCTCCCAGAGGTGCCCCGGCTCTTTTGGCTGCCTGTTCCCAGTGCTTCAGGGCAGGTGTTGGGTAGTGGGATCGTTGTAACAGGAAGAGAAGGCAGAGGGGAGTGTGTTCCATTTGCCACCGGAGCACTTCTTCACTCCACATTTTTACACTTGCACCGTCTGCAGCTTTCTGATAGCCCAGAAGCCATCTATGAACCATTAAATGGCAGTGGCCATGTTGCATTACAGCTGTGCTCAGCTCTGGGCTCACATCTGTGCACACTTATATTCATGCCTGTACCCCCAGGGCCTAGCACAGATCCAGTGAGCCCCTTAATGAGGAGAGGGGTGATCTTTTGAATGTCAGTGTGTTGGGTCCTCCCGATATGGCTGAGGAAAGTCACAGACAAGCTGATCTTCACACTCATGCAGAGGTGCAGAAAACCTCTCAAAGACTGTGTCCCTGCTGCAGAGGGCAGAGGTTGCTAAGGTCACAGAGACCTGTCAGGTGCCCATGTCTTAAGCAGGGCAGGTAGCCCTGCTCTGTGAGAACTGTGTGTGGAAAGGAGGGGAGGTCACCCATTCCTGGGTACACAGAGGTGACCAGGACCCATGGAAGCTTCCTGATGCCTATGTTTGCTGCACATGGCCCTGGGGAATAGAGCATCATTCCTCACCAAGTCCCTTTACAGGAGCCTGTGCTGCCATGAAATCTGCATTCTGCCTCGTTTGGGCACTCCTGTTTCTGGGGTGAACCTTTTGAAGGGGCCCTTTCCCACCTCTTGCCATTCTCATCCCTACTTGCCCACAGTTTATGTCAATCCCATCTTCACATGTCCCTGGGGACTGGAATTTGGGTTCTGCCTCACTTCTCACCCCTGCAGCCGCATCAGTGTAATCCCTGCCCCTCACCCCTGCCCAGCATTCTGCCCAGAGGAACTGGGCATTGGAGACCTTGATAGAAGATACTGAAGTAACACTTGTTGATGAGGAAGAATGTATTGTCCAGGGGCACTGTGGCTGTAGGGACCACTGCGGGGGTGGGGGCGGAGATGGAGCTATCTGTGAGTACGGCATGGGTAAGGGGAATTGGCAGTCAGGATGCAGGATTGGGGCTGATGAGTGGAGAATCCTCCCAGGAGATATCAGGATGGAGGTAGAAGGGTCTGACTAACCAGACCTATCCAGAATCTTTTTAAAGGCGGGTCTGGGCCTGCCCAGCAGGATGGATGATGGGAGAGATTAAAAAGCTGATCAGATATCAGGTGTGATCAGATACCTGAGGGCAACCAATTCTTGGCTGAAATTGAATTTTACAGGAAGGTACACAGATGGACCTAGGTGCAGGTTGAGGAGTCTGAATAAAGTAGGGCCAAACAGGCCCAGCGCAGTAGCCTAGTGGCTAAAGTCCTTGCCTTGCATGCACTGGGATCTCATATGGGTGCCGGTTCTAATCCCAGAAGCCCTGCTTCCCATCCAGCTCCTTGCTTGTGGCCTGGAAAAGCAATCAAGGATGGCCCAAAGCCATGGGATCCTGCACCTGTGTGGGAGACCTGGAAGAAGTTCTGGGCTCCTGGCTTCGGATTGGCTCAGCTCTGGCCATTGCAGCCATGTGGAGAGTAAATTGACAGACATAAGTCTTCCTTTCTGTCTCTCATCTCTCTGTATGCCTGCCTTTTCAATAAAAATAAAATAAACCTTTTTTTAAAAAGGGGGACTGGCCAAGCAAAGAGTCTTTGTCAAAGGCATAGCTAGTTGTTGAGGCTGACCCACCTCAGTTCATCTTATGTAACATTTTCCTTGGGAAAAATGAAAAGAGATGACCGACAGCAAGCTGTGTTCTTAAACTGTTTATAATTTGTCGTAGAAGGTTTGTGCTGGAAAAAAAATATTCTGGTCCCAGTTGTCTGGAGCTGAGTAGGCTCTGTATGGAGGTCAACATAGGGTATACTGGGGGCAGAACCTGCATGGCCCAGGAGACGTAAGCCTGGTGACTTTGAATTGGTTCTGGAAATTGTTCCCAAGTGGACCCATTCTAGTCAGAATTGATGTGTCCATGAGACCTTCCCATCTGTCCTTATACAGTAGCATACGCTGAGGACATTGGCTTAGTCCCAAAGGCAGGCATTAGGTAAGTCTTTCTCAGGTTGGAGACCACCTTTTTTAGAGCATGCTTGGTTACAAACATCTTTGGAGACAAGTTACACTGGAGTGAAGGCCACTGATTAACCTTAAGAAGCACATTTCTGGAAAGAGCTAAGGAATGCATGGATTAAGGGCAAAGGACTGGGCAGGGTTGCTCCAGCTGGCAAGGATGCAACGGGCCCTGAGAGTACAGAGCGGTGGGTGAGGTTAACGCTCTCCTGGCCTCTCCTCAGATGGGACTCAGAAGGTGTTGTTTTTTCCTGGAATGTTCTACAAGCCTTTTAGAGACAATTTGTTCTCAAACTTAGCAGTTTGGAGAGATCAAAGTCAAGCTTGGTTAAGTAATGTTCCTGCAATCATGTCTTCTGAAGCAGAATCTAATATTGCAGTTGATATAATTTCACACTGGGAATTAAATCCGCCTTTTTTTTTTTCGCTCCCAGAACATGGAATTTTGGATCTTTGTAATCCTGTGTGTTAACTTCACAGAACTTACCGTACTTCTCTTGCGGGCCCAGATTTAGGTCGCTCTCGAGAACTTCAGTACGTGTACGTGGACAACAACCTCTCCCTGAAAGGCTTGCCATCGTTCCTGTACAATAAAGTCATCGGGTGCAGTGGGTAAGGCCACTTTCACATTTTGCACACGTTTTACTCTTGATTATCCTGTTGCATTTTGTCTTTGACCTTATTAAGCTAAACTAAATGTAGAAACTCCAAATGCATTTAGGCAAGCAATTTAGAATATTGAATGCTGTGCTCAATTAGTAAGCAGTGGATTCAGTCACTAAGTTGACGATACTTGCTTATCAAAGGAAAATGAGCCCACACATACCTTCTTCTTTGTTGCTTTTACTACGGGAATAAACAGGGGTTTTTTTTTAAAGTATACTTGATGATTGTGTACATTTTAAGTGTTGAATGTGATGACATATATAAACAATATATATACATCTACATACTGTCACATGTACCATTATAAACACAGAAGGAGAAGCCAGCACTAAGTCAGATTTTCTTTCTCTCAACTCCACTGCAGTGATGGCTTGACCACAGTGACAACCCTAGGATACAAGGTTTTACTCGTTGAAAGTATTTAGCACTCAACACCTGAGACAGTCCTTGAATATTCAGTGTGATCTAGTGACCCATTCAGGAGAAGGGAGCATCTCATGGGCTCAGCTAGCTCTCCCTGCACAGCAGTGTCATTAAACCACCCGCAAAATATAGCCCAGTGTGGGCAGAGGTCAGGACAGGACCCCTGGACCACCACATCCCACTGCTGCAGCAGCCTGGAAAGCCAAGGGGCACCCTGTCACTGTGGCTCTCCCCTTTGGATCCCAAGTGTTCCATACAAGCTGGCTTACTCTGCGTCAGTCTGACAAGAAGAGGGGTAATAATGAATGTATCCCTGGAGGACAGCTGTTTCCCAGCCAGCGTGGCTCCAGGAGGTAGACAGCGAGCTGGAGATGCTCCACAGAGGGCAGTCCTGGGAGTAGGGTCCTCCCCATAGGAAACATTAAACACTGATTGTCTTGGGAAAGCCTGAGATGAGTTCAGTGCTTTGTGTGGGCTGATGAAATCCAAGCTGAGAGATGTACTCCAGAATCTTCTGTGAAGTAGAAGTGGTGGAGTGTGAGATGGTTTCAGCTTGTGATTTTCCCACAGCTGGACGTTGAGCCAATCGTCCTCCCAGTGAGTTCTTACAGGACCGTCACCATGGCCTGATTTCCTCCAAGCGGTGACTAAAATGCCCTCGGCCACCCCCCAGCACGGGGTGATGCAACAAGGCTCCGGGCGGAAGGCGCTTTTCCCACACCTGCACCTCCAGGGACTGCCAGAGCTACGACCTAAATCTCGATAAAGCACCTTGACTTCAGTGTTCAGATGTGGCTGTCCCTGAGTGCCAGAAGGTTCCATGTGTGCTGAGTGGAGAGAGATTTTCTCATCTTTATAACATAGTGTTCGGCAGTGGCGTCGTGAATGCTGTGATTGCTGCACGTCTTTGAGATGATAAACTGTAGGGAAACCCCTGAGAACTCTCAGCTAGTAGTTTACATTTTGTTGTTACTGTGTTTTGTTCATGGTAATAAAGAAGCTGTTGCTAATAGAATAGTATCAAACAACTAATTGTCTAATATTAGCAGTAGTGAGGGTGTTTGCAGTTAATAATCCAAAATGGACTATAATCCGAAAGATAGGTTTCTGGTTTCGGCCTTTGTCTTTGTTTTTGTTTTTTGATCTGATGGTTTAACTCAAAACTCAGAATGCGTTTCAACCATTGCATCCCAAGCCAGCTCACTGAAAGCCTATCCAACTTGTTTTGCACCCAACAACTGATACTTCTTTGTGTAATATTTCTATGATGAATTGTATTCAGAATCTTAGGACATGGTGGCTGCACATGTCCTGACAGGAGACTTCAGGTTGCCCTGTTGACTGTCCCTTCTGTCTGATGAATATGTAAAAAGGGACTCCCTGTGCCAGGTCAGTGCAGTGGGCTGGAGGCCTGCAGGCTACGTTTCAGAAGGCTGAACGGGGACTATGGTTCCCTTGTGCATTCACTGCGCATATGCTAAACAGCCATTCTGGTCTGCGTGCTAGACCGTGGGCCTGAGTGCTGATCCGAACATCATAGCACCTGCCCCTGTGGACCTCATGATCTCACCAGGGAGCTGGGGAGCAGCTTGCTACTGGTCCTCTTCAAGGAGGCATTTAGTCTGAAGTCTGAAGGATGAGCTCACCTGGTCCCCTGCTGCCCCGTGCATTGCTCGCAGGCCAGTGCAGGTGCACACGAGGCACACACTGGCTTCTGCCTCCGCGGTGCTTACAGTGAGATCACTGCGATCCCTTTGTCGGTGAAGGATCTTAAGAGAACCAGGGCACCAGCACATAAAACTGGACGCATTAGAAGCCTGCAGACATTGTCTAGGAGGTGTATGCTCAGCGTTGCACCCCAGAGGGAATACAGAAAGTGGAGCCTGAACTGTCTTCAAACTGCAGAACAGACGAAGTACAATTGTATGAAATCCAAGCAGTCTTACCTTGGGTGTTCATGCAGATGCGAACACATTTTGTTAGCTCCTCCTCTTTAGGTGTTTATGCACTTTCCAGGTAGTTACTGAACATTAACCAGCAGGTCAGAGCTGTGCTAGAAATTATGAGAAAGACAAAGATCATTTAGATGTTTATCCTGATAGGCAGACATAATTATAATCTAAACATTAAAACCATAAGAAAGGTGGAATGGTGAAAACATAGAGCATGGAGCTGGCCTCCAGGACCTGTCGCCTCAGCGCCACATGCTGTCACTGGCTTGCAGGACCTGTCGCCTCAGCCACACGCCGTCATTTTTGTGGCACTTGCTGGATGCCCAGACCAGTCAGTCCTCTCCATGTTGGAGCTGGAAGTGTGGCGCAGCAGGTGCCCTCAAGAGGGAGGGTCCCTGGAGCCAACGTGGTTGCTGCCTGTCACAGTTTCATTGCCTCAATGCCCTCTTTTAGCTTCACTGGAAAGTGTTATTCTTAATTTCTGTGTTTGTTGCTGTTGTTACGGAAATGAATGTCTTCAGTTCTACACTGTACCATCCCAAGTCACGGCTTTAGGAAGTAGTAATTGGCATGATGGCATATTCAGGAGCACCTAATGGTGAAAGTGACCATATCTGAGTGTTATTTTTCCAGTTATCTGGTGAGAAGAAGAAAAGCAAAGCAAAGTGCCTCGCCTTTATGTATGTGTGAGTGTGTAAATAAGCAGTTGTACCTGGATTCGGGAGCAATTTAATTTAATGATCCACTAATGGTTTGTTAATGTAGGTAATGAAGGTAATAGAATTTTTTGCAGGAGAGAGGCATTCTACATTCTGAGTTAAACTAGCACATTAGCAATGCCTTACAACTCACAGTTCATTTCTAAGTGGGGCTGCTTGCTCACCCAGATCCAACTAATACTGTATGTAGGCAGTTCCATGGGGGAAGCCCAAGGCAGCTTAGCCACAAGTGAAGGAACTGAAGTGTGATGTGAGCTGTCACTCAAAAGAGTTTGCAGCTTGGTTCAAGAAAATTTAATTACATGTGAAAACAAAAATATTAATACTCCAGAGCATCAGCAATATAATTTCCACAATGTGCAGGATACAGCTGAGAATTACATGGCATTTATAGTACCAGGAAACGTGAGCCATTCTCCAGAGAAAAGATCAACAGAAACCAACCTGAAATGACCCAAAGTGTTGGAATTGGCAAAGATTTTAAAGCAACTGTTATAATTGTTCTCAATAAAGAAAAACAGATTCACAAAGAAGGAAAGACCAGAAAAGACATGAAGTCGGTGTGGTGGCACAGCCGGTGCAGTTGCTGTCTGCGACGCCAGCATCCCATATGAACATTGATCCTAGCTCCTTGCTAATGTGAAAGCAGTGGAAGATGGCCCAAGTGCTTGGACCCCCGCCCCCGCCTGGGAGGCCTGGATGGAGTTCCAGGCTCTTGCCTTTGGCCTGGCCCAGCCCAGGAATTACAGCCACTTAGGGAGTGAACCAGCACGTGGAACGTGGGTTACTTATTCTCTTTCCCTCTCTCCCCTCCTCCTGTGTGTGTGTATGTCTTCCTCTCTTGTTGTAACTCTGCTTTTCAAATAAGCAAATAAGTCTTTTATAAAAATGGATATTATAAAATTAAAAATACAGTATTTAGAATAAAATGTTTGATGAACGAAAAGGCAAACCGGGTATAAATAAGCAGAAGTCAGTTGAACTTGGAGGAGGATCTGTGGAAATGATCCAATGAAGATCACAGAGAGAGAAAAGATCGAGAACAGCTATGGCGGCAGGAACATGTGGAGGGGCAGAGTTTGCGGCTGGAGTCCAGCCAGCAGCATGAACAGTGTCAGGAGGAGGCCATTGCGTCAGGTCCCATCCCCAGGCGGCTCCCTGAGCCCTCAGCAGGATGAAGGTGAATGCTGCTGAAAAACAAGTGAGAGCATTTGGAAAGCAGCCAAAGAAGGACCCATCACAAGGGAACAGTTCCAGAGAGACTGTTAGCTTCTCAGAAGGAGGCCAGAAAACAGTCAAACTCCAAATCAGAATTCCACATCCAGCAAAATCCCCTCCCAGAGTGAAAACAACGTGAACACTCCAAGCCTGAACAACCCTGCTTGCCACTGGCCTCTCTAACACCCACTTCTCCCCTTGACTTTTCCTCGTAGTTTAAGCTGAATTTTTTTTTCTGATTTCCACAGTCGAGAGCAAGTGGATAGATACACAGTGCCCTTTTGGAAGGATAAAAGCTGGTGCTTCTAGAGTGTTCAGTAAGGGAATTTAAGCTGAATCTTTACTCTTGACACATTGCTAGGTGCAATGATTGTAGAAATACATATGAATTAACTTGCTAAATCACATGAGAGTTACAACATATAGATACATCAAAATCTCAGGGGCAAAAAGATGTCACCATTTAGTTTACAGGGAGCTAATTAATGTTGATTGGCAATTCTAAAAATACTGATTTGAAAGGAAATTGATAGTTGTAGATTCTATTGTAAGTAGAATCTTTTTAAATCTACTAAGCCAAAGATAGTAGCATTTGTAAGATTTTGACTCATTCTGATAACTCAGTTGAGGGTTT